CATTAGTCTTTACAGTATTTAAAAAAAAAAAAAAAATACTTTTAAGCTCTAGCTGCTCAATAGACAAATCTGATGACAGGGCTAAACAAATAATCACTGTTATAACACAATAGCATTAATACAGTAGATCCCCCTATAAGACGGTAGATATGTTCCGTTCTTTATGAATCAATTTTGTAGGAATCATAGTTTACGGACTACGGCTGTTTGAAAGGTTTTCTTTCATAAAATTAATCGATTCTAGACTAATTCGACTCAACATTTCCAAAATACGTATATTTTTTTGAAAATAATCCGTATAAACTACGTTATAAACAAAAAATTGTAGGATTGCTTACCGAGTGTGTACCGTTCGACTACGCCCGTTGCTAAAGCTTGGTTTCGTCGCGGAACAGCGCATCAAACCGCGGCCGCGATTTCTGATATTATTTTTCTGCGAAAACTTCGTTGACCTTTGGAGACATCCTTAATATAAATAATTTTTATGGCCGTTAAATAAGAAATGTTTCTTTCACAAGAAATGTATAAAATTACAGTACTGGACAGACGATAGGTCGCCTAACTCGCCGTAGCGTGACGCTAGACGGCGAAAAATATATATTTAATTATAATAAAGTTACAATAAATTAAGTTAATATATAATTATATATACAGTACCTAATTTATATATAATTAATATATAATTATATGTACAGTACCTAATTTATATATAATTATATGAACAGACGATACAAAACTCAATTTATCCGCCTAAACGTCCGTAGCGTGGCGCTACGGACGGCGGGAAAGTAGTTCGGCTGCCCGATGACGTTTTACGTATTATAGGAGTTATTTTTACCGTTGTTTACGGATACTGCCACAATTTTTATAGGAATCATAACTATAGGAAACGGTTTTATAGGGGGATCTACTGTACTGCCACAATTTTTATAGGAATCATAACTATAGGAAACGGTTTTATAGGGGGATCTACTGTATCTTAAAACAGTCTAGTGATGTAACAATATAGTGAAACAACTTTTGAGACCAAAATGACTGTCCATTAAGAAAGGTATTTGTGCAAGTTTTATGATTACCTTTAAAAGGTAATCATAATATAGTAGCTACCTCATTATATTATGATTCAGATATATTGTGCTTCGTTTTTTGAAACCGTGTTTTCGTATTTATTTACTATTGAACACAAGACTGTTATTATTAAAACACTTGTCGTTTATCCACTTTATTCAGTTGACTGAATAAAGTGGATAAACGCCAAGTGTTTTAATAATAACACAGTCTTGTGTTCAATAGTAAATATATTGTGCTATTTTTTTTTTTGGTCCCCAAATTTTAAAAGCACTTGAGTCAATAAATTTTAAAATATCAATTTCCATTTTGTAATGAAATATATTTTATTCCTACCATTGTCCTTGAAACTATCACTACAGGTGAAACAATAAATTTGTCAAGATCTAAATAGGCAAAACAGGTGGACGGATCAATTATCATTTGTTTCCTTTTGATATTAAAAAGCTGTTTATTTACTGGTTTTAAGTACCGTCTCCAAATTTACAAGTTTCTGTGAATTCAAAATTTCATACCTTTATTGATACAATATAGTCAATTCACATAAAAGGTGTGAAATTTGAAACTCACTGCAAAATGTGCAAGGAAAATATTTCTTTATTTCTGAACAGAAAGTTCCAAAATTTTTACCTAGTAGCAACTTTTTATTTATCTGTTTTAGAATTCTTATCATCATTTATTTTTAAATTTTTGTATTTACATTCTATTTTCACGTTTGATTGTATCATAACTGAAGATGATCAGTTAAACCGAATGAAAACATTATTTAGTAAATTTCTTTGCTGGATCTTTTAAAGGTGTGTTTTTTGAGTCTAATCTATCCAGTTGATACAAAATGAATGGATAAATTTTTAATGAGCAATTTATTGTGAAATACAACACTGTATAATAAAATCACAACTGATATTTTGTTTTTATATGGACAGTATTTGTCTTTAAATTTCATTGTTAAAGAAACAATAATGCTAAATGGACATTCATGGTATCAATGTTTACATAACAGTCATTTAATATGATATAACCACAAATAAAATTTAGTATTGCTAAACAAATCTTATTTTATATCAGAAACACTTGCTGATGAAAAAACAAAGGATAGAGATTCCAAAGCATGTATAAATCTGTTTAGTAAAAGCTCAGAATTTTTATTTCTAAATAGAAACTTCTAAAGTTTTTATCCAGTAGCAACATTATTTTGCTCTTTAGAAAATTTTTACTCTGTAATTTTATAAGTTTTGATGTTCTATTATATGTTTTAGTACTCGTTTATATTGCACCACCAGATATACAAGGCTTTTTCTTTGTTGCCCAACAAGTGCAATATAATGAGGGGCTACTCTGCACTATTTTTTTTATTTATGAACATATTGGGTTGTTCGAAACGTAAGTTCGTTTTTTTTTTACCACTAGACGTATTAGTCGTATTTTTCCCGTCATTTTCATTCTAAACCGTATTATCATTATATATTTTGACAGCTAGCATTTTAAGGCTTATTTGTAAAAAATTTTGTTTGATTTCATGCAATTGTTTATTTTGTGTCCATCAAATATGGAAGATCGAAAGCAGCATTTTTGGAATGTTTTGCTCTTTTATTACTGAACAGGTAAGAATGCTGTTTAAGCGAGAAAAAAATTGTGCAACGTGTATGGTGAAGATGTATTGACAGAACAACAGTACCAAAACTGGTTTACAAAATTTCATTCTGGCAATTTCAATATTGAAGATGCACCACATTCTGGATGGTCAGTTGAAGCCAATGAAAACAAAATAAAGGTACTGATTGAAGCAAACTGCCAAATAACAACATGTGAAATCACTAAGAGATTAAATTTGTCAAATTGAACCGTTTATAATTACTTGAAACAAATTGGTTTTGTTTCAAAGCTTGATATATGGGTTCCACATGTTCTTAAAAAGAAATGCTCTCTTTGGTGGGATTAAAGAAATTTTTTTGGAGCTTTTACCAGACAATTTAACAATTGATTCGAAAGTATACTGCCATAGAGTAAACAAACTGAGTAATATCATCAAACAGAAAAGGCAGCCAGAGTTGATCAACAAAACAGGTGTAGTGTTTTACCACGATAATCTCAAATTTCATAAGTTTTTTCCACGGAAAAAAATGAACTTACTTTCGGAACAACCCAATAGAATAAAGATACCATGCAAAATTGAAATATGAACCATTATAGTAAGTGATGAATTAGAGTCAGTATTACTTTTTAAAAAATATTCAGATATATTTGGGTTTTATCATTGATTGTAGCAATCTGCTTCTCACTATGCATAATTAAATTTTGTAGCTTTAAACTGTGTTCTATTGAAGTGAAATTACTTGGAGATCTGAAAACTGAAAAATAAATTTTCCAAACAACCCCAGTTGATTCGGATAATCAACGCTCTACTGTATTTGTTTTTAATATCTTGAATGACATTAAGGTTATTTTGGACACATGTTATCTTGCTGATCAAACCCACACAACATAACAAATATCAAAGTTGAAAAATTTCTTCACTTTCAGTGTTAGGCTCTTGGGAATCCGCACTGGATTTGATGCTCTCATATTTTCACATGCAATCATCCTCAGTGTCAATTGAAACCTTGGAAATGCAGCATTTTTTGAAAGAGTGCACACAAGGTTTTCCTGCAATTTTTATCCAAGTACTTATGACACTATAACAGACTGATCAGATTGGGCTGATTTAATTTCTTAAATATTTACTATTATGAATATTGGTCTAATAAAATTATTAAAATGACATAATAGAATTAGTGACAGAGAAATAAGATGCATGGCACTAGATGTTGCTAAGTGTGACATATTACATCAAATCTAAGATACACTCTATATTAAGAAACCAAAAACAGTGTCTTACATTCAAGTAAATACATATATCATAATAAAATTGTTTAGTTAAATCAATTTTAAGACTCAATAGTGAATACAATATTGAGTTTTTGGAATCAATTTGACTACAACTGCAAAAATACCAAGGATGTTGACTTTATGATCACAGTATCCAAAATAAGAACATTATGATATTCCTAGCTTATCAGCTAATGTAAAATTCCAATATAAATTCTAAAGGTTTATTTAATTCCTCAATGATCATTAAATACTCTTCTATTATCATTGACAAAATAATATGGAAGTCATCTTGCTTTTCTATTAACTATCAATCTATTAACGTAAAGCAATTAAGTTAATAGCGAGGTTGAGGCCAAAGTTTTAAATGCAAAAACGTGTACGTCTGACGTTCAGTACTGCTTTCCTGTAAGCCTAGAAGTTTGACAATGGTGTTTGGATAGCCAAAGGAATCATGCTCGACATTCCAAAACACCATTGTCAAACTTCTAGGCTTACAGGAAAGCAGCGCTGAATGTCCAACGTACAAATTTTCACATTTAAAACTTCAGCCTCAACCTCACTAATAAGAGACTTTTCATTAATGTCCAAGATTGGTTCAATGAAAATGAAAAACAACAATAACTTGATGATTTAACTGTTAGATAGATATTAAATGTTAGTACAACCTACATAAAACATCTAAATCAATAGTTAAAGTTTTAGAAGATTTTAACTAGCTTTTTCATTTGAAATATTAATTTTACATAAATGTACTGGTACATTATAGTACACTTTTATTTTTGTGTTTTTTTTGGTTAAAATCTTAATTCTTTTGTCTTTACCTTTTTTTACTCTTTACAATTTTACTTTGCTAATTTATTTAATTACTATAGTTTCTCATGGAATGACAGTTTTTTTAATATTTTCTATCTCAAATTCTACTATTAGAGATATTTGCTGATAATTCTATAAAAAATTGAGATAATACAACTATTATATAATTATTTAAAATATTTTTAAAATGAATAAATCTTTTAAATATAATAAACATCAAAATACAATGTAAAAAAACTTTTTCTTACAATTAGCAGCATTATTTCTTTCCTTCAGCAAAAACAAATATATATCTTTCTTCTTCATCTATATTAAGAAAACAAAAATTTATTAATTGAAATACTATATCAAATATATATACTTTATATATTCGATTATATATCTATACTAATATTGTAAAGAGGTAAAGTTTGTTTGAATGTAGGAGGTAATCTCCGAAACTACTCATCCGATTTCAAAAATTCTTTCACCAATATTTAGAACGGACCTTCAGGATGGACTTAGGCTAAATATTATTCCGTTAAACATTCATATAAATTAAAAGATATCATCTAGATAAGCATTATATTTTTGGTTTACGGCAAGACGCATACATATACGAGATAGGTAACCGTGCAGCACAGTTGGCGTGATATGCAGTGCACGTGTCCGGACTTGTGCTGAACATTGCCACAAACTGAATTCCACGCAGGAAAAACTGCAGGCACAGCTAGTATACTTTAAAATTCAGTTAAATATCTCAACCAGATTTTAAACAATGGTAAGTACAAATCAATTAGGTAAGGAACAAAAAAGAACCAAGAGTTAAATAGTGTGCTGTGAGTGAGATGAAGAAAAAGAATCTATACCTAAATCATATATCACTATTTAATTTAATATTTTAGTGAAGTGTGAATAAAGCATGGCTTGAAATTTTGCACTCCTTCATGGCTTGTGTCCTAGGCAGTTGCCTAGTTTGCTGAAATGATAGTGTCAGCTCTGCCTCTTATACATAAGCTACCATGCCCAATTTCATCTCATCATTATCCCATCCTAAGATAGTACAAAATATACACATACATAGGATATTTTCTATTTTTTTTTTATATTCAGGTGGTCTCAAAACATGGAGATATGCAAATCACTTGGTCAAATTTGACATGATTCCAATACTTTCCCTTGTTATGTATACATAACAGCTGGGAAAGTAAAATAAATATGAGTATAAGCACTTTAAACTTAGGACCAAATTACAAAAACAAATGTAAATTGCAAAGATATTAAAATTAACAACTTTTTGGCATCAAAATTAATTTTTTTTTCTTGCATAAAATTTCATAAATATAAAGACTATTTCCTCATTTTGTTCTAATTAGTTTTAAATGTTTTTACATTTATCAAATATGGATAAGCTAGTTGTTTTACTGTAACTTTAACTTCAGACTCTTCTCTAACTGCACTTAAATAACAACCAAACCTTGACAAAAACCTTTAATATGCAGGCCATTTTTATTAACTTTTCAAATGTTTTCGGCCATTTGAATGACGACCTTCAGGAATAAAAAAAAATCAACGATTCAGATTTTTATAAAAAAAATTTGTTTTCGAAGGAAAGGGAGACACCTAATGCCTCCCTCTAGTCCAAATTTATTAGTACATTATAATTATTATTTCCAAATTATAGCCCAATGTTATATGGCTGTTGGAGGGTTATTGTTAACAATTTCTTCATTTCTTTGAACAGATTAAAAACTTAATTTTAGTAAGTAAAACTATATTTATGGGATGCACCTTAATTGTATAGCATGTAAAAAGACTAACAAAACAAACTTATATTTATGTCTATTTTGTTATTCATGATGACAAATTGTCTTTTAGGTCTTATGTGTAAACAGATGGTATAACAAACCAGACTTATGAACATCTGTTTTGTTATCCATCTTGGCACTTTTCCATGTAAGTCTAGCATGTAAGTATAGGGGATAACAAAATAGAGCTATTGCCATCTATTCTGTTATTTAATTTGATACTTTTCAAAATACAAACACCAAAAATTCTATACTTTTTTTTTCATTAAATCCCCAAAGGAAAATCTTTTCCCATGCGTTCCTACTAGAGCAAACAATTTAAAAAAATTTACTCCTGTAATTACAGTTACTCAATGAAAGCAGCATTATGCATGCATCAGTGGACCTTGTGTCATATGATGCACACAATGGTTGAAACCTTGTCATGTTACTCATGAATAACAAGGCAGAAGAGTGCTGATAAATTAACAAAGGATAAAGATATTTCACTTACAATAAGAATCAATAAATAGTTTCAAGTCAATAGTTTCTGTAATAGTAATTCAGTAACAATTGCAAGAAATATAAACTGAAACATGACAGAAGGAAAATATTAAATTATGGATCTGTAAGTGATTATTTTAATCATTTCCAGATGATTTGATCCAAAACAACTAGATCAGTTCCAGATCAAATCAATTGAAGTAAATATTTCAATATAATCATTTCCCTACATAGTAAAAATCTATCATAATGTTAAAGATTTCAATTAAATTATTTTCTAACATATTTAAAATAATATGTAAAAGTACTTTGTATGTACAGTAAAATATCTTAAGGATGTACAATTTTATACTATATATTAATTTAAAATTATATTACCACTTGAATAAAAATAACATTTATAAATAATATTCACTCAAAATTTGTTAAAATTCTACACTAAAATGTTACACAGTAGTATTTTAAATTTTTTTAACATACAATAAGATATACTAAAATATTTAAAAGTAAGGATTTTCTTGGGATGTTTTAAAAGATAAATTTATTACAATAAAAAGTATTTAGATTTCAAAGTCTAACAAAAAAAAATCTCATTTGTTGATATTTGTTTTAATTCAGCAAACTCTTATTACTTTTAATGAAAAATGAAAAAATTATATACATTAATTGTTTCAAAATTGTTTAACAAGTAAATTACAACATAACTCTGAATAATTATTTAACATTCAAAAAACTAAAAAAACTTATCTTTTGAACTTTTTACAAGAAGTTGATTTTGTTTTGATAAAATACAATCAATTTATTTCATAAAAGCCTGGAGGTTGGAGGTCACATTAGTTACATAACATTCATTGAAAACGGAATATTTAAGAAAGACAGAATATCAAAATTAGTAACTACAAAAAATTTAATGTCTTAAAAACTAAAGAAATATTACACACTAATTCTTGATATATAGAAGACCAAACAGTAAACGTCTTTTTTCAATATATAATTTATTTAGTAGGTTAAATGACATGAGTCATTTAGCCAATTACCTGATATATTTAAACTAGTATTAAATGTGCTCTAGATAATGAAATGCATCAATGAATCACTTCTAAATCACACCTAAAATAAATATTAATAATTGTCAAAATTAACGGCTTATGACAATTTTTATATATTGCTTTGACTAATAATTAATTTAACAAATTTGGTAATGCAGACAAGCAACGATCGTCCATTTTAATATTAACAAATGAATAATGCTTATTTACTAAATTTACATAAATATCTAATAAGAAAATTTGACTCGGGATTAAAATCTACAACTTTTGCAAATTAAAAAGATACGTTATCAGTCATGTTATTTGAACTATGCGAGCAAAACCTCTACCAAACAATGTATTTCGAATTATCATATAATCTTTACGATTATTATTGTTGATGGAATTTATTTTACTTATAGCCATTCCAAGAACCACATATATTTTTATACCTATTAGGAGATACACACACACACAAATGAATATCTATATTTGATTACAACTGACAATTATTCATATTAATAACACCACTAATAATCACTAACTTTACAGGAAAATTTGATATAATAAACTAGAATCTCAACTAGAGCAGTAATCATTGAGATATTAGCAATTGTGTACATAATAAAAATCCATAAAAAGTATTTTAAATATAAACATATTTTCAAATTATTACATCATATGTTTTTCAATTTCAATGATGTTTATATTTCAGAAAATATTAAATGTAGTAAATATTCAGTATCAAATTTAAAATTTATGTCATTATTATTTCAAAACTAATGAAAACTGTAAAATTATGAAACAATTATACAAATTGTTTCCAAATAAAAATGAAAAATTTATAATAAATTAAAATTAACTTCTAATTATATATAAACTAAATTACTCAAAACATTTCTGAAATATTAAAATAATTATTTCCATTTTATAAAAAACAGAAAAACAAACCTCAATAAACTTACAAGTTTTTAGATAAAATCTTCACTAATTTCAATATAATAAAATACGTTTGAAAAATAAAAGTCATTGTCAAAGCACTTATCTATGTTTGCAATATAAAGTGAAGGGGTGTCGTGATAGATTAACAATTTTTTCCTAAGTCGCTTTTTCAAAACATCTGATACTTTCAAGGATCACAGTAACACATCCCATTCTATTCAACCCACTCAGTTTCCCTCGCTTACAAATTAGGAATGCAAATTCACAATTATAAAGCTACACACACACAAAAAAGGTTAATCATCGTATAAAATACATCGAAAATTTTTGCCATTAACTAATTTACAGGTCAATAAAAATTACGTAAGAGTTCATCAAGCCTATTTTTTTTTTAATAATGAAAGTTAAGCCTAAAATTAAGTGTCATTATTTTCAAAATAAACTGCGAAGTAAAATACTTACAATTAAATAAAAAATAGTAAATGTCGTTAAGTATAATGAAACGATTCCGTTAGTACAAAATACACAAAAGATATAAACGGCTAACGAAACTGCAGTAAATTTTATCAATCACCATCTGACGATCCGTCGACCATTAAGCAGATCCGCAGCAATTTTTTTTTTAATTTCTTGAGCAAATTTCTAACAGCGATATTCTAAATTTTAGATTAAATAATATTATCTTTAATATATTAATATATATTTTAATAATATTTCGATATTAATTGGGCGTATCGAATATTATTTTAGTATTTTTTCGAATGCGGTTCAGTGATCCGATCGTCTGGTTAGAGTTAATATGGCCACAGTCTCGTGTCCTTGTAAGACTAGAAATGTTTGTCGGAATTTTGATTATAAGGCCGTGTAAAAGTGAAAATAGAACGGTTTTATTTATTAGGAAAGCTTAAAGTTTATATATATTTATTTGATTGAATAAATACTTTGGAAGTTTCGAGTCAAAATGTATATTGTGTGTGGTAATTCCATTAAGCCTAATCTACTGTAGTGTTTTTGAAATGAATTAAATATTTGGGGATAGTTTTTTTTTTAAATAAAAATGTCTCCGGTTGGAGAAAAAACTCACGAGAGGATAATTACTCATCCTCCTCATTATTACCAAGAATTGCCTTCTCAGCAAGAAGAACGATTGGAGAAACTGTTTAAGCAACTCGATGTGGATGGAGACGGGAGGATCAATATAAAAGATTTAACCAAATCCTTCCAGAAATTAGGCGTCCCGTACGATTCAAATCATGTCCAGGTAAGGTTCATTTCGATTTAAAGTAACCCCTATATATATAAGTTAACAAAATACGCCATAGAAGGAGATTAATTGATATTAGATCTGCAGTTACAATACATAATACGGTAATAGATAGATAGAAATTTAAAAACCCCATTTTAAAGATCTGGTGAGTGTAAATATTCCTAATATATGAAGATTATTGATTTAACTTGGAAACGACACAGTTTTGACTGATGTGTTTGGAGAGTTGTGTGTTTACTTCGGTACGGCTTTCTGTGTGAAAGGTAAACTTGTACCTTTAATTTTGTGTTGGGTCAAATTTCTTAGTAAAAATAATAAATGAAAGAACATTCAGAATTTGTGAATTGTAATTGTAATACTAATTAAAAACTTTATTTTTATATGAAATATTGAATTGCATTTTTAAAATTTAGTTATTTAAATTTTAAAAATGCAGTCCAATATTTGTTGCTTGTTAACAGAAAGTAAATTTTAAGAATACTTTGATGGTATATATATATATACCATCAAAGTATTCTTAATAATAATAATAATATATATATATTTTAATTGAACTGCACAGTTTTAGTTTAAAATTTCAACTATTTTTATTAAAATAAATTTTGTATGGATATTTATAGAGCTGTTAAGAATTAAATGACAGAATTAGAATAAAGTAAGATTGTATTTCTTAACTTTTGTTTTTAAATATAGAACATTAATGTCTCTTACTATTATAGTATAGAACATTTAATGTTTGACCTTGATTAGTTAAAGAACAATTGATTATCAAGAGTATTTTCAGATTATCTCAGGATTTTATCAAAACTTTAATTTTTTTTCCCAGTTACTAGCAGAGCCGTAACTGGGGAAAATACATTGGCAATGGGGCAAATTCGAGGATGTGAGGTGTGAAAGGCACCAAGCACCCCCCATGCCTCATAAACAGTCTCTTATTGCTCTCAGAGCAGAAAAAGGCCTATTCTACAGAACTGCAATCATCTGAAAAAAATAATAATGATAAATTAAAAATTTATACAAGTAAACAATTTTGTAATGTGCAAAGTTTTGAGAATAAGGACACTATACCCATAACTCCCAAACCATTTTTCTGAAAATTTTTGGAAACATTTCCTTGAGAAATGTCAGAAGTTTTGAACAAAAGACATAGGCCTCATAACCATTTGAGCTGTGGACTAAAAACTAATGCATTGCCAAGTGTGTCAAAACATTGCTGTAGCTCTGGTTAAGAGAGGACATTTGTAGTGTTTACAATTTATTCTTTTTATCTACTAAATACATACCTATAATGATTTTATAGTTTATGCAAATCTTTAGTTCTAAGTAAAATTGTCTTATTTTTGCATTCCATTCTATAACACACCCATTACAATTTCATGACAAATTATCTTAACAAGTTCAAATTAACAAATCTAATATTTAAAAGACCAAAGGGTTCTTAATCTATGCATTTAATATAACCAAAAAGTTAAAATTAAGATTATTAAATTGCGTTATTGCAAGTAAATGAAGAATAATAAATAGTAGAGCTTTGTTTAATGTAGTGACTACCACAGCAGTTGCCTACAGTAAGTGATTCCAGTTGCCTAGGTTGTGATAATCATTTGTCCATATGGGAAGAGATGCCAAAACAATGCCAAAAGATGTCAAATCTACATTTCAGTACTGTACTCAAGATTTCAGTGTTGAATATTAATTAATTAATAGTAATTATCAGTTATAATTTTCTTAATTTACTTTTTTGATAATTTGATAAAAATATAATAAATGTTATTAAGATTGCTTGAAATTCTTTAAAATCAAAATTTTTCAAACTTTTTAAAGATCAAATGTAAATATATTTGAAAACAACAAAAAATTCTAGGGCAAGAATACAGAGAATGAAATTTCAGGAATAATCTAGGACCACTGTTTGGCATTCTTTAGTGATAAGTATAAATTTTGCTGAAGAGAACTAATCACACAGGGAACACACCAGTAATTGATTTTGCCAATTTTATTAAGGAAATGCATTTCAGGCATTCTGCCTCTATCCAGTCTATTGCAGATCTATTTAATTAAACAATAAATGCTAAATAATTCTAATATATAGTACTGAATAAATAATATATTAAAAAGTTTAAATACAGTAAATTACCTTTGAATGTTTTTTAAAATTATATTAGTGACTATTGGATGAATCAACTTTGTATTCATAGCCTAATTTTATTTCTTAGTTTATGATATGAATACAAGGTTGATTCATGCAGTGGTCACTAATTTAATTTTAAAAAACAGTCAAAGTTAATTTACTGCATTTAAACTTTTTAATGTGAGTATTATTTACTTTCTTGGCCGTTATGCAGAGAAAAAAAATGGTGATGCGGCAAAAAATGATCCCCCTCCCAAGATTTTTATATTTTGGACTTGGAACGCCTTGAAACATTGAGAAATGCAAAAAAATTTGGGGTAATTTCTGTATGTATGGATGTTAGTATGTGTGTGTGGCATGAAGCTTAATAACACCTGTGCTTTTTGTCAAAAATTTCTGAAATTTTGCAGGGAGATTTGTTTATTAAGGGGATTGAGGCTTTTAAATATTGGTGATTAAAGGTTGAGGGGGTGGGAAGATAAAGGTGGTCACACATATCTCCAGTAAGGTCAGATTTTACTCCTTGTTTGCATTTATAATTTTTTATAAAACACATCCCTACTCTTGAAATTAAGATTTTTGCCATTTTAGAATAGTTTGAAATATAACAACTTTCTAAAATAAAATATGACATCAGTTGGCACCACCAAAATTTTAAATGCTACCAGGAAAGTAGAGCAACTTGTTGCGGGTTTATTCAGTATGGTGTATTAGAATTATGTAGCATTTATTGTTCAATTAAGTAGATCTGTAATAACAGACTGAAGAGGAGCAGAAAGCTTGAAATGCATTTTCTTGTATAATAATGTTGGCAAAGTCAATTACTGGTGCATTCCCTCTGTGATAAGTATAAATTTTGCTGAAGAAAACTAATCACTAAAGAATCCATCAAGAAAACAAGTAACAATTAACCATTTGGTATGTAAAGAAGATGGGATTTTCAAGCTTGGAAGTGCAGTCAAGTAAAGCTGTATCTACCAGGGCTATGAAGTGACTGTCCTCTTGTCTTAGCAATGTCTCTATAGTATACATAATATATGCTTTTGTTTTCATCATGTAAACTTAGGTAACTGTTAATTTTTTTACACTTGTACTGTAGCTAGTAGGCCTAGTGTTGGCTGGAAAAGAGAAAAATATCAGTTGCAATTGTTTTAATTAGCCCCAATGATTTATTTCTGGCTATGAGACTGCAGTCAAGTCATACAGCTTTAAAAGCTTAAAAAATGAACTGATATACAGAAAGTATAATTATGGTATGTTAAATTTATTCAGTTGATATGATGCAATAATTTTTTGGTCTGCAATTTGAAAGAATTGTAGACCTATAAATTCCCACTCTGTCTGTCTTTCCTTAATATCAAGAATGGAGTTAGATAGATGAAAGCTAAGATCAGATATGGAAAGATTAGGGATCCCTTGATTAACTATATATGAACTTCTGATGCAAATCAAAAGTCACATTATTTCAATTGAAAAATTTTCCCCTGAAAGGTGTTAGTTAGATTACTAACAGAAAAGTATGATGTACAGGGGAAAGACACTACTAATTTGAGGTGGAGAGCATATATTTTAAATTAAAAAAATTATTAAAATATGATTAAAAATTTCAGCCTGATATTGTGACAATGTCACAATAAATAATTGCTTGTTCTATATTCATTTATTTAAAAAGGGAAAAGTATAAACAGAAAACTGTCTGAGAAACTTTATAAATATCTAAATACAATCCAGATATTTCAATATTATATACTTTTTGTATCAAGAATTTTCTCAAGATTTTATACCAAATGAAATAATGTAACATGGTAGTTTCGATCAGTTATTTATTAACTGATGCATAATTTAAAAATTTTACAAAATGATGAAATATTGATCTTTTAGCTAGTTTTTACCATTTAGTTAAAGAATGAAAAATAAGAACTATCTTCTATTTTAAATTAGTCACTGAAAAAATTAAGTTAGCTGTATGTATTAAATTGTCATTAAATCAAAGAAATTAAATTTTTATGCAGTATATTTTAATCTTATAAAATTAACAATATAGATGAATATTTTGAAAAATATGAATTTTTTTTTTTTTAATTTCAGAGGTTTTTTGAAAAGTCTGACTTGGCAAAGAGTGGACATGTAGATTTTGCAGAGTTTGTTCATTATGTTATTGAACATGAGAAACGACTGATGGTAGTTTTTAAAAGTCTTGATGAAAATAAAGATGGTAAGTTACGAATTTACTTTTTCAATGAAAAATTAATATAATACATTTAAAACAAATAAGACCATTCATGTTTTTAATATCTTCACATGTAAAATAGATCTTGGATATATCTGGATTATACGTAATAAATTGTTATAATTTAGTTAAGATCAATAATTATCATATTTAATAGTATTAAATTATCTAATGGTGAATAATAACTGTTGATCTAAACTTGGTAGTTCTGGAATTTTATTATACAGTATTTTCCAACATACTTAATACCCTTTGTTGTTTATAATTATTTGGATTACATTTATGAATTATTTAGAAAATAATTTTCATGTTAACTCCTAAATGAAATATTGGAATAAGTCCAAGTTTTATTTAGGAATTAACTGCTATGACATAGACTGATATATCTGGATAATTTCAGTTCTGGTTTTGTCATAATTATGTTGTTTATTAACAAATTAAGAAACTTCAGTTTTGCTGATAAAGAAAATATTTAGAATAATAATAATTTATACTCTAATTACAAGCATTTAAAATTTTCTATTAGTAGTTGCTTGTATAAAATAATTTTCCAAATTTAAAAAAAAATTAAGTAAAATATATATAAAAAAATCAATAATGAGTTGTGTAACTTTTCTAGCAAAATAAATTTAAAATTGTATGTGGTATTTTCTGTTATATTTTATTTTTTAAAAATTTTATGTTAATGATTATTGTAAATGGTAAAAAAATTAAATTTGATAGTAGAGATGAATTTTATAAAAAACTTGTAAATACTAGTAATGAGTAAAATCTTCATTAAGTCCAACTCTAAGTATAACCACCCTCTATCTCCCCACTCACTCAATCTTTAACCAATAAAATTTAATAGCATTGATCCCCTAATATATAAACTTGCAAAATTTCAAAAATTTTTGACAAAAGGCATGGCCATTATTAAACTTTAAAGTGGGTGAACAAGATCATGCCACACAAATAAACATCTATACATACAGAAAAACCCCCAAATTTTTTTTGCATTTCTCTATATTTGAAGGCCCTGAGTCCAAAAATTAAAAATCTTGGGGTGGTCATTTTTTGACCAGTTTCACCATACTTTCTCTGCTATATATAACAACTGGGAAATGTAAAAATTGTTTTTAATTTTTTTACATAATACTACACACACACACACATATATATATATATACATAATAATTAAAAAGTTATATTGAATTATATATTTATTAAAAATTATGAAATGAAGACTATTATAGAATATATTATTTAAATGTCCATAGGTACCCTAAAAATAGTTCTGTAATTAAAAACTGTTGATAAAACATTTTTAATAGTCCTTTACATATTTAGAAGTTCAAAAAGTTAATGCTGTTGATTTCTTTAATTGTGGTGCTATAATATATAATGTAAGGAAGAATAAAAAAAAAAGTGTTTTACATACATACATTATTTATATATATAATATTTTTTAATAGTGTTATAATGTTTAATAATGTTTTTTATAAAACACTTTTTTTTTATTCTTCCTTACATAATTATATTAATGTGTAAACTACAAAACAGAAAACATTTTTTGAGTAAAATATATTTCAGAAAAATACAGTCAAATTTTATATAATTATGAAATATATAAAATTGTTTCCAAGTTTATGTATAAAGTATAAAAATGAGTTTTTCTTTGTATTACATAAATCATATTGTTTTAGAATTAACAAGTAATAATATACTTAGTTGTATCTATTTTTATACTGACGTTTTGTACTGAAAAAGAAAACGTGACTTTTCCTTATTGATTTTTATATATATATATATTTTAATAATTGACTGAAACTTTATGAAACATTTTTATAAATAGATTGGTTAAGAATTGTGTATTATTAGGAGCATATTTTCAGAAAAGTTTTTTAAATTATAAAAAAGCTTTATTTGCAAATTTTAAATTTTAAATAAATTTTTTGTGTAACTTATTTTATATTTTAAATTAATTTTTATATTACTATTAATTCATAGTAATTAATGTAAAAATTAGTTGAATTAATAGTAATATAAAAATTAATTATTAGATTAAGTTGTTATAGAATTTAGTGAGAACAATGCAAATATTAAAAAATAATTAACATCACTATTTATAATTACGAACTGTTATCCTTAATGTACTGTACAGTAATACCTTGACTTACGCTACCCCGACTTATGCGAACCCGGTATGTGATTTTCAAATCTCGTCGATTCATCTTTTGTTTGAGCTCCACACAACTCTTGATTACTCACCTCCCCCCCACACTATTGTTCAGCTTACATGTTCGGACGTGTCGCATGGAATCGACACACAACTACAATTTATTTCTGTGTTTGTTATATCTACAGAGCCTTGAGAGACACTATGTGGTGATTTCTTGTAACCGTGAACGAATCAAAAGACAAGATAAGATTAACGAGAACATTTATTAGCTTACATACATCCGACTTGGATTTTAGACAAATTGCGAAATTATACCCCGACTTACGCGAATTCGACTTCCATGGTTATTGCTCTGTCCCACCTATCGTGTAAGTTCGGGGCATTACTGTATTTTAAATAGAAGTTATTTTTAATATAACTGTAGGTTACAGAACTAAATAATAATTATAAATAAGAAATTATTTACTTTTTTCTAAGCATTATTATAATTAATTTTATAGCCACTTAAAGATTTAAATTTCATATGAAAAATATTAGTAATAGAAAAGTATGTGATTTATTCAAAATTAAGTAATTAGCTTTGTAAAAACAGTCTTGAAAAGAATCTAAAATAAGATATATCTAGTAATTATAGTGACATTCCATTAACCTGGATCATTGGGACTGATGTGGTGCCAGGTTATCAATTATACTGACTTATTGGACAATGCAATTTTTTCATGGTTTTTTTTATTTCCTGGACAAAATTTTACATAGCTTTACGTGTAAAACTCTCAATTTGTATTCCGTGTCACTCCCAACCTGTATTCCTCTGTTATCCATTCTTGTTATCGTTATTGTTTTTTCTGCTGATTATTCCTTATAAAACACCGTCACGGGATGCCCATGGATCTCAACCCTTTTCTTTTCATTCCTTTTCTTTTTTCACCCCCACCCCATCTTCCCCCTTTTTCCATAACACAGGTCATACCAAAGAGTGATACCTGTCTTACTGCTACTACTACTACATGTAAAACTAAAAATTGGCCTTTTATGATTGTTTAACACACCATTTCAATTTTTTCAGATTATTCCTACCTCGGTTGGTTTGAAACAAAAAAAAACACTAATCTTACTTTGTGCACTTTTATCTCTATCTACTCTATATTCAATTTCTATATATGTATATTCTATATATTTTACATATTAAAAGCAAATGTTCATTACTTATAAAACTGAAACTAACACTTTACAAAGAAGTGCTATAAATAAAGACTCAACTGCTGGGATGAAATATAACCAAATCAATCAAATACTTTATCCATATTTAATGAAAAATTATGTTTAAATTGATTTGATTTTAATTAATTAATTTTGATTCTACTTTTAATTTTAGTTTCAGTTTGTTTTGTTATAAAAGTTATATTTAAATTTAAATTAAATATTTTAAAATTTAATTATTATTTTAAGTTTTAATTAACTGGCTACCTAGTTATGTATAAATACAGATGAATAGGGAGGATTATCAGTGCACTAAGTAAAGATGAGCTGGACATGATGGCTTATTAGGTTTGCTGGCATACCTGATGCTGTGTTAATGGAATTCCACTGTACATATTTTTATTAAAACTTGAAATATATTTATAAATATAATAAATTTATTTTTAATATAATAATAGAAATTATATATATTCAATCTATTAAACTGTTGAATAATGTCTAATAATTCCTACATTATAAGAAAAATTAATCAAAATGAATATTGAATTTAGAATATGTAATACAGTCATTTTAAATGTTTCATTAAATTGATTATAATTTACCTAAGTAAAAAGCATTGAAAGTAAATTCATTCTGCATTTAATTACCTGTTGTTTTATTCTTACCTGTATCTGTCTGCATCCTAATTTAAACAAAAATGAAACAAGAGTGAACATTTTTGACAGTTTATATATTATCTGAAATATGATCTATTGCAGTTTGAAACATGGACTATTTTTTGTCCTGTAGACCAGATTTATAAAATTTATTACTAACATCAATAATATAATAAATAATACTAACTATATTATTATTATTATTACTGTTTTAAGATAAATTTTCTATGAAATTGTACAAAGTACATTTTTGAACAATATTGTAATTCTAGATTTTAAAATTTATTATTTGGATTATCTGTTTGACAGATAAAGTTAACTTTTATTTTTAAATGTATTGTTTTCTCCTTCATTTTAAAAGTTATTATTTATTAAAAAAGATTATTTTAAAGAATAATATCTGTTTATAAATATACAATATCCAATTATTAATATAATGTAAAATATACATAGTAAAGAAAGCATCTAATGGCATTGCCAAGAAGTAAGATATATTATGTATAAACAATTATGCTACTTTTTTTTATTGTATTTGCTGTTAGAAATATGATTTTGAGAATCTAATAATGAATATGCATTTTTAAAAATTTTTAGTTACTGACACAAAGTTAAAAATACCATCTTCTAGTGTTAATTTACTTTAGTAAACTTATAGAGGTTAACAAGTATACAAAGAAAATTTAATAGATAAAAATTAGAAATTAAATCTTTATCTTTTATTATTTAAATCTTTTGTTGTATAAGATATAACACAAATGTAATGAAATTGTTGAGTTTAGAATGACTAAAAATTCAACATACTAATTACAAATAATTTCAAGTAAAACTGAAGTAAATAATTTTAAGTTTTCATTTTATTTTATATAATTTTTCATCTAGAAATGACAGAAATACAGAAATTTATACCTTTTCAATAGTCTGGCAGTGATTAAAATATTTCTGAATGCTAAGATATGTATATTTTTTTA